TTATGGGGATGAGGTTAAAGAATTGACATAATTTTACATATTGCCATTGCTGCAGCATTGATTTTTGACATCATGTACAAGTTGTCTTTCATGTCAAGAAAGGCTATTCTATGCCTTCCTATTGATAGCTACTGTCCTATTTCAAAATCATAGTTCTAGGTCCATGTGGATATGGTTTGAAGGATTAAATAACTTTACCTTTTGCTATGGCCACATCATTAACTTTTGACATCATACCCAAGTTGCCTTTCACATCAGGACAGACTACTCTCTGATTTCACATTGATACTTGCTGGTCTGTCTGCTTTCACATTGATAGCTACTAGCCCATCCCAAACATAGCCAACTTTGATATCAGCTCTTTGAGGGCTATAGGATGATGGGCTGATTGTTCCCTGGAGGTGTCCTTAAGTCAGGTCATGATGTAAGTTGAGAATGTATTGAGACAGAACAGTGGATATTAATATGAATGGCTTCCTCTGGCTTGAAAGCCAACTTGGGCATGATGTCAAAAGTTAATGATGTGGCCATAGCAAAAGGTAAAGTTATTTAATCCTTCAAACCATATCCACATGGACCTAGAACTATGATTTTGAAATAGGACAGTAGCTATCAATAGGAAGGCATAGAATAGCCTTTCTTGACATGAAAGACAACTTGTACATGATGTCAAAAATCAATGCTGCAGCAATGGCAATATGTAAAATTATGTCAATTCTTTAACCTCATCCCCATAACCTATACAGAGTCAAGGACACTATAAACTATATGTCAACTACAAATTTTTGTAGCCTCAAAATGTGGACAGTACAAACTTTTGCAGTCTAAAAAGCAGACACTACAAACTTTTCTAATACAAAAGTGGACACTACAAACTTTGTGGTCTAAAAAGCAGACACTATAAACTTTTCTATTAAACAGGCACACACTACAAACTTTTGTAGTCTAAAAAAGCGGACACTACAAAATTTTCTAATGGAAAAGCGCAGACTACAAAAGTTTTCAGCGTGGATAACCTTTTAACCTAACCCCAACTTTGTAGTCTATTCTATATCTGACTCTTGTAGTCTGTCAGTGTCAATTGCTCTTTCAGGGAATGCACCTTCCTTTTTTGGTCATTTTTCCCACAATACAACATTTGTTGCCCTTTCATTTAGCTTTCTAAATGTGTTGGAATCATGTTATTTGGTTTTGTTTTCATGGAGAAAAATGCAAAAAACAAAAAAAAACACGGCACTTGGAAGAATCTTTTACATCATATCTTCACAATGGGAGCACTTCACAACATAATTCAAACAGATTCAGGAAGCTACAGTGTAGGGCTACATGAAATATCCTAATGAAAGCCCCAAGAAGCCTAATGAAATATATTAATGAGAATTCCATGAAATGGTAATGAAAGAGTCAAGGAGCTGAATGAAATATCCTAATGAAAATTCAATGAAAATCTAATGAAAGCGCCAAGGAGCCTAATGAAATATCCTACTGAGAACTGTAAGAAATGGTAATGAAAGGGTCAAGGAACATAATGAAATATTCTAATGAAAAAATTCAATGAAATGGTAATGAAAGGGTCAAGGAGCTGAATGAAATATCCCAATGAAAATTTTAAGAAATGGTAATGAAAGGGCCAAATACCTAATGAAATATCCTTATGAGAAATGGTAATGAAAAAGCGAAGGAGCCTAATGAAATATCCTAATGAAAATTCTAAGAAATGGCAATGAAAAAGCGAAGGTGTCTAATGAAATATCCTAATGAAAATTCTAAGAAATGGTAATGAAAAAGTGAAGGAGCCTAATGAAATATCCTAATGAAAATTCTAAGAAATGGTAATGAAAAAGTGAAGGAGCCTAATGAAATATCCTAATGAAAATTCTAAGAAAGAGTAATGAAAAAGCGAAGGAGCATAATGAAATATCCTAATGAAAATTCTAAGAAATGGTAATGAAAAAGCGAAGGTGTCTAATGAAATATCCTAATGAAAATTCTAAGAAATAGTAATGAAAAAGCGAAGGAGCCTAATGAAATATCCTAATGAAAATTCTAAGAAATGGTAATGAAAAAGCGAAGGAGCCTAATGAAATATCCTAATGAAAATTCTAAGAAATGGTAATGAAAAAGCGAAGGAGCATAATGAAATATCCTAATGAAAATTCTAAGAAATGGTAATGAAAAAGCGAAGGAGCATAATGAAATATTGTAATGAAAATTCTAAGAAATAGTAATGAAAAAGCGAAGGAGCATAATGAAATATCCTAATGAAAATTCTAAGAAATGGTATTGAAAAAGCGAAGGTGTCTAATTAAATATCCTAATGAAAATTCTAAGAAATAGTAATGAAAAAGCGAAGGAGCCTAATGAAATATCCTAATGAAAAGTCTATGAAATGGCAATGAAAGGGCCAAAGAGCTTAATGAAATATCCTCATGATATCTCATTATCCTTGCCTATATCTTATGAAAGATTCTAGTGATAAATTGAATGAAATAGATGGGCAATCCTAATGAGATGCCTTTCATAAAACCTGTGGCAGTATACACATTGCCTCTTGGACAGTTGTCATAGATTAATCATAAAAGTGGTAGCCACCAGTCTCTGAAGAACTCTCAGAGCTGGAGTCCGAGCTATCGGGATCAGACGTGGAAACATCTGAGTCACTGAGAGAATCTGTACTCGAGTTATCTGAAGTATCAGAGTCAGAACACAAGTCAGAACTCTCAGAATCTGAGTCCTCGGAGCTAGAATATGAGCTTCCATAAGGTTTACAACCTCTGTGAGTGTGAATTTTAAGTTCTCAAGCTTCTTTGAAGGCCGCGCCCAAGTAGCTCTTAAGATTAATCAGCGCGCTAGGTTTAAAGTCATGGGCATAATGGTTAGCATCCCTTCCAGGGATAACTTCAACCTTGGTGGGCTTTTCCAGATGCCCTCCAGCCGCTTTACTGATTTCTTTTTCATATTCTCGAGAAAGCGGCATACTGGCACTGCGATATTTATAAGTCTTTTTAGACTTCTTGGTGTGCTTCCTGCACTTCTTTTTCTTATCATTGTTACTAACACTTAACTCATCAGCACTCTTGACTAAATCCTCATCAGGATTCTTAACGATGGTGTCCTTGTCAGGACTAATAATCTGTGCACTGGTACATTGTTCTTTATCATGATTGACCTTAAAATTTTCCAGCATTGACACCTGTGCCTCAATGTCCAGGCCAGTATCTGAGATACCAACATTTCCCCAGTTTCAGGGATCGACTCCTTTACCCTTGGAGGTGCCTTCCTCGTGAGAGTGAGTCTTTTTTCGTATGTGATCTTCAAGCTTCAAGATTAAATCCTTCTGTTTCCTAGTTAAATTTTCACGCACAAGTCGAACAACTTTGATTTGGTTTGTATTTAACTCAGAAGTTCTTTTAGGTGTCTCAACACTATGAGAGTGTCGACTACCAGGCATCGCCCAATTTGTTGAGTACATACTTTTCTCAATAAATGGGTTGTCCAGATTGACATCATCCCCAGACTCTAAATTAGTCTCCCCTGAGCAGATGACACAGACATCAGAGGGTTCCGTCTCAAGGCATGCAGGAGTGTGGCGTTCGTTGACCATAGGAGTAACCAGTTGATCAGACCAGATGTGATCCACAGGAGTCGACAAGCGAAGCGGGTTTTAGAGTAGTTGAGTCGAGATACGAAGTTCAGTCAAAAATATGTGGTGATAGTGTGACCTTCAGTCACTGTAGCAACACAAGTGAGTTTCCAAACAGACTGGTTGAAAGTATCTCGTTCAAAAACTAGCTATTTTACATACATGAGGGATTCTTTTATAATACAACCTTGCCAAGAGGACCAAGCTATTTTTGTAAGTATGGGGTTTTCGAGCAGAAAATAAAGAAATAAACAGCAGGGAGTCATTGGACTACGTATGATGACAGAAAGAAAATTGAGGGTGAGGAGGTGAATAGGGGGTGAATGTCACAAGAGTCACCAGACCGCTACAAGAAAGGCGTCGTGACAACACTGTCTCCCATGATCCCCAACAATCTTATCTTATCTTCCCTGTTACAACTCTCTGGCAGAAACCCACCAGACGACCAGAAATGTTGATTGACTGGAGACAAATACATTTTGAACCAACAACTGCAGCATTTACAATATACTCCACCTGCTTTCCACAGTTGCAACTAACTATTTGCAAGATCCTCTATGCCACTTGGTGGTATTTTGCACTTCAGTCACCCACTGACCACTGACTATTAGTCATGTAATTTCAGTATATATTACATGACTAATAGTAGTACTGTATTTATTTATTGTACTGAATATATCCAGAATCTTTACTGTATCTATTTCCTTAAAATGTCACAAAATCAGCTGTCACACTATTGAATCTATTTTTTTGCACTAAATAAATCTTTTTGGTGCCAAGACTCTGAATTAAATATATTTCATGGTTTCACTACTGAATCTATTTTTTTGCACTAAATAAATCTTTTTTGATGCCAAGACTCTGAAACAAATATATTTCATGGTTTCACTACTGAATAAATCTTTTTGGTTAACATGTCACAAACTTGCCTGTCACACCACTGAATACATTTTGGCTTTGGATAGACTACTAGAGGTGTCTGGGGTCCTAGTTCCAAAGAAAAGTGTGTTATGATTTTTCACTAGTAGAGGTATTACTGATAAATTTCTTTTTGTTTGTAAATGCTTTCCTGGGGCTGTAGGGTCCTACTGTTTTCAGGATCCACTGCCCATTGCCAAATATGGAAGGTGTGGCTATGTTAACTGAAAAATAGCAATAAAATACAGGGAACAATGATGAGTTTAGGGTGTTGCTCACTGTTGGTGATGATGTTGGAGGTGGTTTTCAGGGTCCAGGGCACATTTCCAAATAAGGAAACATGTGCTTTTTCACATGTAAAATAGCAATGAAGTCAGGAAAAATTAGGGGTGGTGCTCACTGTTGGGGACAATGTTGGAGGTTGTTTTCAGGGTCCAGGGTGCATTTCCAAATATGGTAATATAGCTAAAAAATAGCCACAAAATAACCAAAAAATCAGAAAAAAATGGGGGTGGTGCTTTCTGTTGGTGATGACATCTGGGGTTGTTTTCAGGGTCCAGGGCATATGTCCAAATAGGGTAATATATTCAAAAATAGCTAGAAAATAGGAAAGAAAATGGAAAAAGATATGAATGGTGCACAGAACATCAGGCACTGCCTTCAGGGTCCATCCCAAAGAGGAAACATCACCTGGTTTGACCAAAAGTGAAGAAAACCAACAGGAGAATGTTTTTATCTATCAGGGTCCATGTAATGGGATGTTGGGATGATGGTCACATGACCAATTACCAAAAATGGTGGAAACAAAAGTTGTAGCCCTACATTGTAGCTTCCCGAATCTGTTTGAATTATATTCTGAAGTGCTCCTGTTACGGAGATATGAGGTAAAGGAATTTCAAAAGTGTCACGTTTTTTTTGTTTTTTGTGTTTTTCTCCATGAAAACAAAACCAAACAACATGATTTCAGTATATTTAGAAAGCTAAAAGAAAGGGCTACAATTATTGTATCATGGGAAAAATGGCCAAAAAAGGAAGGTGCATACCCTCGAAAAGAAATTGACACTGACAGACTATAAGAGTCTACCATAGACTACAAAGTTTACTGATAGACTACAAAAGTCGGACTTAGACTACAAAGTTTACTGATAGACTACAAAAGTCGGACTTAGACTACAAATTTACTGATAAACTACAAAGGACTACAAATGTCGGACTTAGACTACAAAAGCTTGGACTTAGGCTACAAAGTTAGGGTTAGGGTTAGGGTTAAAAGTGTATCCAGACTACAAAGTTTGTAGTGTCCACTTTTCATCATTACAAAATTTTGTAGTGTTCATTTTTTCCTTAGAAGGGTTTGTAGTGTCTGCCTTTTGGGACTACAAAAGTTTGGTGTGCACTTTTCCATTTGGAAAGTTTGTAGTTCCCACTTTTTTTGACTACAAAGTGTGTGCTTTTTCATCAGAAAAGTTAGTAGTGTCCGCTTTTTGACACTACAAAAGTTTGTAGTGTGCACTTTTTCATTAGTAAAGTTTGCAGTGTCTGCTTTTTGAGACTACAAGAGTTTGTAGTGTGTGCTTTTTCATTAGAAAAGTTTGTAGCTAGGGTTGACTAAGGATATATTTTTTCAGCCACAAGGGGTGTCTGGGGTCCTATATTTAAGAGAAAAACTTGGGATTTTTTTAATATAGGGGACAGGGGATTTACCTATTATTTTGTAGACAGAATACCCTCATTGGGATGTTTGTTGACAGATATTTACCAATGGGTTTGACCCATGTGTAGTATATGCATTGATGTGTGCACTATTTCCTAATTGGGCCATTTCCTAATTGGGAAAAGCATTACATTTTTTTCTGCCACACCTGATGTCAGGCACAGTGCGCATTTAAGTTGGGAACTGTTTCCCACGCTTTTTGGGCCAGAAGAATTAATGGCTAGCATGGTGTGGTCATTGTTAATGATGATGTGCGCACTATTTCCTAATTAGGTGACTTCCTAATTGGGAAAAGCGTTACACTTTTTTCTGACAGACCTGATGTCAGGCACAGTGCACATTTAGGTTGGGAACTGTTTCCCATGCTTCTTGGGCCAGAAGAGTTAATGGCTAGCATGGTGTGGTCATTGTTAATGATGATGTGTGCACTATTTCCTAATTGGGCCATTTCCTAATTAAGAAAAGTGCTACACTTTTTTCTGACACACCTGATGTCAGGCACACTGCACATTTGGGTGGGGAATTATGTGTCTGCTTTTTTCATTACAACACTTTGTAGTGTCCGCTTTATTCATTAGAAAATTGTGTAGTGTCTGCTTTATTTATTAGAAAATTGTGTAGTGTCCGCTTTTTTCATTACAACACTGTGTAATGTCCGCTTTTTTCATTAACACACTGTGTAATGTCCGCTTTTTTCATTAACACACTTTGTATTGTTCGCTTTGTTCATTAGAAAATTGTGTAGTGTCCGCTTTTTTTCATGACAACACTGTGTAATGTCCGCTTTTTTCATTAAAACACTTTGTAGTGTCCGCTTTGTTCATTAGAAAATTGTGTAGTGTTCGCTTTTTTCATTACAACACTGTGTAGTGTCCGCTTTTTTCATTAAAAAACTATGTAGTGTCCGCTTTATTCATTAGAAAATTGTGTAGTGTCCGCTTTTTTCATAAAACACTTTGTAGTGTCCGCTTTGTTCATTAGAAAATTGTGTAGTGTCTGCTTTTTTCATTACAACACTTTATGGTGTCCGCTTTCATCAGGAAAACATGAGGGTCATCTTTGGGGATCTTTGGGGTCTTTGGAAAGACCTAAAGACTCCAAAGACATAAAGACCACACGTCTTTCGGGAGACAGGTACATTTTCTTTCAAAGATGTGGTCATCTTTGAGGGACCATCGACAATCTTTCACAGATGAACACAGAGCTTTGTGAACACCGTCTTAGGCTTCATAAGATATCTTTACAAGTCTTTCACTCATGCTTATCATACCGCAGATGCACTAAAATTAATCTTATTCAAGCAACGTATAAACAGTAGATACCACGATGTCTGAGATATGAACCATCTCCGTCTCTCCCTCTATCCAATCCGTCATGCCCCTACACACCACTTCTTTGTCAGTGCGCCCAGGAGCCTGTTTGTGATACTGGTGACGGCAATTGCACATTTACGTAGGTAATAGGTCTGTAAATCAATATGAGCAATTGGGGTTTCGGAAAACGAACAGAGAATAGAAATATGCACCCTTGAATACTCGAGTGGATGGTAGGTTTACGGGGCATGCAGGCTTGCCACCATTCTGAGCAGGAACAATGAAAGGACTTGAAGTGGTCCTGTCCGAAATGTGTCGACTATCAAGCCTGATATTACACAGACTAGAAGAACTGATTCAGTCTTGTTTAACTATGACCGGAACAAGGCGACTCACACAGCGCCCGAGGGTACGCCAACGCCAAATCAGAGCACATCACTCCTTCACCTTGTGAAGAAGCGTGATTGTCCAGTGCAGGGTTCTGCTGCTCCCGTCGGCGGCACTGACTGATGATGCTGATGGTCCTTTGGTTGATCTGGAGCAGGCTCTAGGTGATTCTCAGAGGGTGATGATGACCCTGGCTGTGAGGAGCACAAGGAGAACATGGATGCGGTGATGGTGCCCCCTGATGACGCGGAAATTTCTGCGCTGGGTGTGGCTTGATACAAAGGAAGCAAGGAGGTTCGGAGAGCTGGAACAAGTGTGGTGAGAGGGGTAATGGTGCGGTGACTTACAGGGGGCGAGGAAGTCGGGAGGGATGGAGTGCTACTGATGAGACTTAGTAGGGCGCAAAGACATGTGAATGAGACATATGGGTTAAGTGAACTTGCAGCTGTAGGTGGAAACGTCGGGAAGACAGGCGTAGCTGATGTCAAAAGAGAGAACGTGAAGGGAGAAACACACGCACTGAGGTTCGTGACTGTTTGTTGAATAGGAGTGTTTTTGTAGGCCCGACCATATCACCGGTGAGATGGAGCTCCCAACGGCAACAACGAGACAGAGAGAAGAGGTCATAATAGTAAAAAGCCAGAGGACGATAAGCCAAAGCCGTCAAATGAAAAGACAGCGAGCGTACCACTTGTGTCGCAAGAACTCTCGAGTCTCCAGAGACACTGTCCAAAAGGGGGAGATAGTTCGGTTCCCCATAGTTTAGGTTTTTAGGTCTTCTCCATCCTCAGCCTTGGGAACACATCATCAATACATTTTCAGACGAATGGTGGGGGAACGAGAGGAAGTGTATGGGTGATGGGGGATCAACAAACTTCCAAAAATCAACAGGCGATCACATGATGTGCGGAGTCTGAACTAACTTCGATAATACAAACCTCTAGTAAGCCTACCGCGAACACGTTCCACACGTTGAACGTGCTTGCTATCACCATTCTATTCGTGCTACATGGCCACCACATTCACCCTGGAAGAACATGACAAGGGGCCCGACCCAGTAAACAACACCTCAACACAACCTCCACCCAAGACGGTTTCCGAACCAGTCGGCTTGAGTAGGGCAACATGACAAAGAAGGGGTCCCAGGTATTTTCCATGCAGAACATTACTACAACCCTGCCGCTGCCTGGTTTTTCAGTGATAACAAGCAAATCCGCCACTCTCCTTTCAAGCACGATGGTGTCAACGCTGCTGTGGTGATGCTTGACCCACGACACCAGCACTCAACAGTCGCAGCAACAGTAATCGCCTCACAGTTTGCGGCTGTAAACAGTCACCACCCCACCTCATCTTCTCCATTATGTGACCAATGTCGTCGTAAGCCCTCGCAGCTGTTTGCCCTCACGGCAATCGACGTCCTGGGTGCATCAGTAAGGTTGGTCTTGCCAACTCCCACCCATTCGGTCTTTATTCCGACTATGGGCAGCATTGACTACCAGGTTTCACATACCACCCTCACCCATGAGGTACAGATATGGGTTTTGATGCGTACGGGTTAGGATTTTTTACCTGGGTCATTCACAAGGTGCAAGTCGGAAGGTGGAACGACGAAGGTCAGGCTTAATTATATGGGTGACTTAGCTACATTTATAGTTAAACATCTATCGACTATCATTCATCCTGACAGCGCAGTGTGCATCTGGCTTCTAATGGACACCATATCAGAATGCATGCACGCGAGTATGCATTCTAATTGAAATATCGATAACTCTACAGATTGCCCTGAAATCGGGTGGTACAGCTGAGGAATGGCTCACGACGATGTCCTTCAAAACACACGGCCTCACAAGT